CCTGTTCACTAAAAGTGAACCAACAACTTCAACATATCTCTGGCTAAACAACCAGGAACAGAAAACAAATGCGGGTTTTACCGGCCAAAGTCAGGCAAATAGCGAAAAGACAACAGAAAGTAAGGCGCGAGCACGCCTAGTTCGTTGCTCCTTGTCGGTCATTAAAGAGTACCAGGTTTTTGCAGGTGTCAGACCGCAGCAAAAATGAGCAGCCCAGGCCTTAGATGTCAACGCACAACCGACATTCTGTGGCAACGGCGTTAGAACATCGCATTTATCAGCCTCCGATTCCTTTTCAAACGCGTACTTTCGCGATAAAATGGAAGTGACAACGCTGCGTTGGATTGTAAATAGCAGTTTACGAACTGAATAGTATTCTTCTTAAAATAAATCATAACTGTCGGAGTTCCATTTTCGAACGCTTTCTGAGGAATATTGGACCATAGTTGTTTCATTATGAGATAAATTCGACGATCATAAGGATCGTACATGCGGAGAATATCTGCTTTGATTTTTTCTATATCGGTGAGGTAGATATTGACGAGCACTTCTGACGATAAAGCTATGGTGCTGCACCTAGCCAAGAAGCTCTTGATTTCCCTTTGAAGCTTGACAGTCGCAATTAATTACAGTTTTTGCTAAGCGGGCGCTGTAGCCAGTGCTTGCGACCCCGGTATTCTTCTGGGCGTAGCATATTTTTACAAGTTTATCCAGCCTGCCAACATTCATAAACAACGGCACTTGTCCCACATATCCTTCAACCAGCTCAACGAGATCCAGAAGAGAGGCTCTTGGTGAAATCCAGTTCGCGTAATGGTTTACTGTCCAGTATCAGGCCTAACCGTTTCCCTTCAAGAAATAAAATCTTTTTGGGCACATTCAGATGTTTAAGCTAACATGGGACAGTGTAATAATCAGCATAAGGTGTCAACCATCCTTTAACCGTGTCATACCTTCTTCAAGTATGTATAATGTACAAAATTTGGATTTAAAACGTTTACTTACGCATCTTTATAATATACTGTAATGATTGCTGAGAGCGAATTGAT